AAAAATGACAGCTCATTAAGTATGCAAATGAGGTGCAGTAATATTCACTGCTTTGCCTCATTTGCATATTTTCTTGCACAAGGGAGGGCAGTATAGACATAGCATAAGTGTTCATTTTACTGTCTGCCTCAATGCAAGCAATACACTACAGCAGCTAAATAGAAGCAAGAGTCTCTCTCTTCTGACCAGTTTACTGCAGCATTTATTTTTAATGTTTTTTTCTGAAGAGGAAAACATTCCTCCAACTAAACATTGTAAATATTTTCTCAAAAGTACCACTGAGCAATATTTAACTCAGTACCAAGGTCATTTGGGAGCAATGTAACCTGATAAAATTGAGCTTTCGACTGGAAGAGAAAAAATCTTTCTCACATTTCCATAGAGTTTGTGAACCTATTAGCATGGGGGAGGTGGGTGTCTATTTTTACTATTGATAAACATTTGTAACTTCTATCATGGTTAATGGATGCTATGTACACTTACCAGTGACAGAATAGACCCTTGGGGATGGCAAGCCCTCCTTTCACGTTTTTCTCTAAAGACGCAGTAACATTACAATTTCACCCAGCCTTTATCCCCAAGGTCTGCTCTCCTTTCCACGTTAACGAGCCTATTGTCCTCACAGCCTTTTACCCCAAGCCTCACTCTTCAAGTAAGGATGCTCTTTTTCACACACTCGATGTCCGACGTGCACTTTCTTTCTATATAGACAGAACCCGCCAATGGCGGCGGGGGGGCCTGCCGCTCGTATCTACGACGCATTGCTAAATTGATTACGCTTTGTATTACAAATTGTCATTCGATCCGGAACAAGCCTTTTCCTTCTTTACCTCGGGCTCACTCTACGCGAGCAGTTGCAACATCCACAGCTTTCGCAAGGGGAGTTCCCCTTGCAGACATCTGTCGCGCGGCTACCTGGGTTTCTAGTGTAACTTTTGCGTGTCATTATGCCATAAATAGAAAGTGGGCTTCCGATGCCGCGGTGGCCTCCGCGGTTTTATCCACAGTAGAAGATAACTGACCCGGAGCGCATTCTGGGTTACTGCTTTGTAGTCACCTTGAGTGGAGCACCCACGGGGACCACTCGAAGAAGAAGAGGAGGTTACTCACCTTGTGTAGTAATGATGGTTCTTCGAGATGTGTCCCTGTGGGTGCTCCATGCCCCACCCTCCTCCCCGCTCCAGGTCTTTCTGCTTTATCTTTCAGAGACCGAGCGGTGAGAGGAACTGACGAGGGGGGGCCGGACCGTGAGACGTTGCAAAGGCGCGAACGCCGCGCGCTGCTCTCAGGCATGCGCGGTCCAGCCCGGCTACGGCTCTGGAAATCTCCGACTAGCGGCGCCGGGTCGGGACCCGACACCTTGAGTGGAGCACCCACGGGGACACATCTCGAAGAACCATCGTTACTACACAAGGTGAGTAACCTCCTCTTCTTGCGCACAAACTCGCGGCCAGTGTAGACAGGCCTTTGCGCAAGATCGCATCAATGTAGACACAGCCTAAGTGTTTACTATTGTAGCCAAGCACATCACTCTGAACTTGTATTAAGAACCTTTGACTTCTGATCCAATTCTCAGAGGATCTAAAAGATTTTTCAGATTCTTGTGAAGATCTTCAGGCTAAGACAGAAGCCTCTGTTATGCTGAACCATAAGGCTTCTTTCCATGTTTATCAATAGCCTGCTCTAAACACCAAGGATTCGGAAATACAACTTCAACAAGATAGGCAGTGAGTCCACACTACCAAGCCCATTCTGTCTGCTGAAATCTATTTCAGTACTCCTGATTTTCACAAGGGGTGTGTTTCTAGACTTACATCCCTCTTTTGACAGAGGGATATAAATTAGACACTTCGAAATTGCAAATGAAGCCGGAATTTGAATTTCCTGTGCTTTATTTGCATAATAGCGCCATGGCGCTCTTTCGAAAAAGTGCTATTTTGAAATTGAAACCGCAGTCTAGACGTGGTTCTTTCAAAAATAGAAACCTTTTTCAAACAATCCTGTAAACTGCATTGAAACCGTGTCTAGACTGCGGTTTCAATTTCAAAATAGCACTTTTTCGAAAGAGCGCCATGGCGCTATTATGCAAATAAAGCACAGGAAATTCAAATTCCGGCTTCATTTGCAATTTTGAAGTGTCTAATTTACATCCCTCTATCGAAAGAGGGATGTAGTCTAGACACACTCAATGAGTAATGCAAATTTGACATTACATGGTCAAAGTCATGGTAGTGTAAACCCAACATTGAGAAAGTCATGGTTCTTGGCCGTCGGGAGACATCCCAAAGTGCCCCACTTTGGCCAGAACTTGTGTCTTTATTGCTCTCCAAGTGAACAGGAAAAACCCCAGGAGAGTTTGGATTTCATTTCCCATGTGGCCAGCATTGCGAGCACCCCTCAGAGCAGACAGCACACTTGAGGAGCACACATGGGCATGACTTCCTTGAATTCAAGTTCTGTGGGCACCAGCTCCCAGGGGCCCAAAAGAGTGCCAGCATGGAGTGTGCAGGAGATTTTGGGCCTCATTGAGGCTTGGGGAAAGGTATCCATTTTTCCTGAGCTCTAAAACAACAGAAGAAACACCAATATCTACGCTGAGATAGTAAAGTGCCTGGTGAAGAAAGGATACTTCAAGGACTCTCAGCAGCGCTGTGTTGGAACTGCCTCTGCTCCTTTATTTTATCACAAGAAAAAGGAGGCAAATGGACAGTCTGGTGCATCATCACAAAAATTCTGCTTCTGTGACAAGCTGCATGTCATCTCGGGGAGTGGGGGAGACCTGACCAGCTTCCCAAGCCAGACCATGGAATTTTCCCAAGACACTCAGGGCAGAAGCGTGGAGAACAACGTGGGTGGTGGAAGGGGAAGAAGAGGAGGACAAGGAGAATGGCGGGCCGGCGGCGAGCAGTGAGAGCCAAGAACATTTCATCAGTTTAATCCCCTCCTCCAAGGATGTCACAGTCAGACACTGATCCCAGGAAGGGTACTTCTGGTGAATTTTTTTCTTGCTACAGGTGGGTCAAGGCATTTAGATGTGATGTGTGGCATATTGTGTGCTTGCACAGTGCTGGGGACCTGGAACAGCTCTCTGTTTTTCACTAGGGATGTAAGCGAGTAGTCAATTACCTGATAAGCGTAAGCTTATTGGATAGTTGAGTCAACCACTCACATTTTCCTCATCCCCTTGCTGCCTCTATATCAGAGGCAGCAAGGGCAGGGAGAAGCAGAAGCCAGTGCTGGGGAGAGCTGGTTCCCCCCAGCACCATCTCCGCAGTGCTGCCTGCCACCTTCTTCGCTACTGCCTCTATCAAAGGCAGCAACTCACTGGGTGGTGGTGGTGGGGGGGGGGGGTTAAGGAGGCTGCTGCATAGCTGCCTCTGCGCACAGGGGGCCCAAGCTTGTCGTGGACAGGGGCTGCTCTGGTCAGGCAGGCAGCCCAGCTCAGTCCTGGCTTGCACCCGGTCCAGGACCTATCCTTGTTGTGGTTCTACAGTTAAAATGTACTAAGAGCCAGGTGGGCAGGCAGTCCAGCTCTTAGTACATTTAAATTGCAGACCCAGCACAAGCCGAAACTGAGCGCCTTCACTTATCAACTAATTGTGTAGTTGATAAAAATTCTATCGACAACATGATAAGCCAATTATCTGTCTCTTAACATCCTTAATTTGCACTGCCCCACAAAGTGCTCTCTTTATCACCTGGTGTCTGGCTGCTCAAAATCTCTGGCGACTGTCAGAGTCTCATTCTGGAATTCTTGTACTTCAGGTGGGGGGAAAGCAATTCTCAAGCTTCCATGAAAGTGGCCTTATTCATGCGAAAGTTTTGCAGCCACTGCTGATTGTCCCATACTTGCATCACAGTGTGGTCTCTCCAGTCTGTGCTTGTCTCACAAGAATTGGCATTCCACTGTGTCTAGGGGATAGAATGCCAGTGGCATTTGCAATTCACTCTACTCAAGTGCTTCACAGAATAGTATGTTCATGGCCTCCTGAGAGTCTTTATCTTTCCGGCAGAGCCTGAATGTGCTCTGGACATACTCCAGCAATAGGTGCAGCAAAGTTATTGTCAGCATCATAAAGCTTTGATTAACAAGATCCACAATGGGGTCCTTGCAAACGCTGCTGTAGAGTCTGCATGGATAATCAACAAGAGGGGGGAAAAGAACAAATGAACTGTTTACCTTTGCAAGGCGAAAGGGAGGAGATGGGTGCATTATGGTCAGCTGAAGACATGTACCCAAAACCATCTGCTGCACAGTTTTGGTCCCAGCATGCCCTGAGAGCATCACTCAGAATGCAAAGGGGCACAGGCACTGTGGGATAGCTACCCACACTGTATTGCTGTCAAAGTCAACGGTAGCCGCCATATTGAGCACATGCTACTTCGAATTATGTCAGATTGTTACACGTGGTGGGGATATGCACCTTTGACTTCGCAAAATCAGGTGCTAAAATGTCAACCTTAATAAAATCGACCAGTGTAGACATGGCTTTATTGGCTGAGCTTTAGGAAAATGTTCAAACCGTAGCTATGCTTCCTTGGTGATTGATGTCTATGCCTATAACGGCAAATGTATCGATATTACCTTAGAGAATCAGCTGACCCCTTTGTTCATAATATAGTTTTGTATAAAATGAAATTACAGTGAAATGAGGTATTGAAAATTCATATATTTTTATATGATCCAAAGTAACCCTCAGTCTCTCATCAAACTCTGTAATAATCAATTTTTACAGCTGTAAATTAAAATGTATTTTAGGAATTTCTTCCTACTTTTAGTTAAATAAGTTTTATTTAGTGTTTTATTAAAATGTATTTTAGGAATTTCTTCCTACTTTTACTTAAATAAGTTTTATTTAGTGTTTGCTCCATGGGGAGCTTATTCACAGGCTTGAAAATTGTGGTTAGTGTTACAAAATTCCATGCTTCTTATTTTTAACAAGGTTACAAAAATCGAATGTGTTGAACATATCAGAATTTGTGTTACTTGTATTATGTAGCAGAAACACTGCCAACTGAAGAAAATGGCACTCCTAAAGAACTCCGATTTTCTGAAGACTCTATGGATTCTGCACTCAATTCACTAAAACCGTCAAGCCCAACCCATCGAAATTCCACTGAATTTCGGACCTCAGGGAGTGCACCGTATTACAGGAATTCCCTTCAGCCAGTGACTGCTGCTTCAAACTCAGCCCCAATCCTACACAAGATGTCATCAAGCTCTGTGGGGAACAGCAGTTACTATGAAGTCAATAGGAATCGAATGCAGAGGAGGATTGAAGGTATGTTATACACTTAACTTTTTAAAATGTGTGCGTTACCAACTGCTTTTTAACAGTGTGCAAAGTCAATGGGCTATGAATTATGAAGCAAAGTGCTGTGACATCCAAGACTTCACATAAGGAGTCAGACTCGCACTGTTGCCAAACATGTCAGACTAGCTAAGGTGATTTCAGAATACAGAATTTAAGCTGTTTAAACTTGTAATACTGTACGAAGCAGAGAAATCCTCAATACTGTTTTTAAAGATTTTTTATTGATATTAAAGATCCTGCAGCTTGCCTGGCTGGGCAATTATGGTTACAGCTCCTTCTTCAATTTCTTTACTGCTGCTAAGTTGGCCAAATTAAATTTGCCACAAGAGGTTCTCTTCCCTC